TTCCCCATTCAACCAGAGTCCTAATACTATAGTGATATGAGACTTTAAACAAGATGAGTGAAAACATCAGCAAGTATTGCGGGCCCAATTGGCAAAAGAAAGCTCAGGACCATATTGATTGGAAACATGTGAAAAAGGCCTTCGTCCTGCAGTAGCTAAAATGATGATGACGATGATGATGATGATGGCAATGATGCACGCTTAAACTTCAGACAAATACATGGAATCCACTCAGTTATCCAGTTGTGAGAATATCTCTTTGGTCTGGAACTGGATCAAAGTCTTTTTGTATATCTTTATTCAATTTTACATGCCCCAGCATATTTTGCATGATCATTATCATCTCATCAAGCTTTTTAGAGAGTCTTTCAGCTATAAGTTGCATATTTGTCTTTTCTTAGGTATCAGCCCCTGTTCAGCCATTCCTTTGTCTGTGAAACTTGATCAGGATACAAAGAACACTGAACTAGAAGGAAATCAAATGGATATTTGCTGAATGTTTCTGTATATTTCAATCCAAGGTTTAAAAAAAATAAAAAAATACATTCCAAGTATTTTGCAAATTCAAAAAGTACCTGTGGTGAGAATCTAATATTGAAATAAGTCAAATGAAAACTCTTCACCTTCCAAAGGCGTGGCATGTTCCCTTATGGAAGGAACAAAAGTTATCCCAAACAATATATATCAAAAGAAAAAGAAAAAATAGTCCAGCAAGGGATTGAAATAAATCAGCATTCGACCGCTGTTTTTAAAGCAAAAAACAAAACACAACCAATAAATTAAAAAGGTGAAAGTTAGGATCCCAGGCATGCTTAAGAAAACAAAACTGCTGACAGGAAGATGTATATACCCAGTGACTTTTTAATCATTTCCAGAGGGAACTGGAATCTTCAAGATTCTCCTTCCCAACTGGGTCCATAGTTATCCCAAAGTCATCTTGGGTCATTCCTAAATGCTCCTATTCAAATCCATGGAGTAGCTCTGCCAAAGAACCAGCTTTGGCAGTAAAATCAGAAGATTATCAGTAAGAGGAAAGAAAAGCTTTTACTGTACAGCAGCCATCTTGGGGAGGGAAAGTGTTTTCAATTACAATAAAAAATAAAAGAAAAAAAGCTATATTTAGAAACCAATGAAGGATATTGATTAAGATCATGGCCATAGCTATCTATAGTAATTTATTTTTCATTAGAGCAAATTCATGAATGGTTGGTGGCTACTAAGAGACTAGATTTAATCATCACACTAAGCCATCATGTGATTTAATTATTTTTAGCTTGACATGTTGTATGAATACAGACACTGTAATTTAGTGCAATGGAAACCTACTCAAATGAGATGTTGTATGGACGAAACACTGATCAGCTTCCAATGTGGCAGATTCTTACCTAATCACACAATACCTAATCCATAGTCTTTTCCCATGGTTGAGACCATATATGTACCCTCAGCCATGAGTCATCAAATGATCTCTCCAATATCTTGCATACATGGGTGATTCAGTGATTTCACCCACAAGAGTGAAGCAGGAAGAACAGCAAGTACAAAGGCTTGGATTTCCTGTCTTCTTTAACTTCTCTATCTCTGAGATTTTTTGGAAAGGAACAGCCATACTGAAGACAGCTTTTTTTTTTTATCTTCTAGAAGTGGAATAATGGAAAAATAACACATCAGACCTTCACAGGGAAGCATGAGGGTAGAAAGTATGAGACATTCCCCCCCTCCTCCTGCCAAAAGTACACTCTGCCACAGACTCAATGCAAAACCATTACGATCCACAGTGTCTATGGCAGTGGTTCTCAACCTGTGGGTCGGGACCCCATTTGGGGTCGAATGACCATTTCACGGGGATCGCCAAACCACGCTGTCCACCATTTTTTTCCCTTTTCCCTAGCTGTCCTACTCCCTCTTATTGGTGGCCACACCCACTTGGGGGTCACCACAATATGGGGAACTGTATTATGGGGTCACGGCATTAGAAAGGTTGAGAACCACTGGTCTATGGAGATTCTCAGTCATCTAGGTCATGATTATCCCAAAGATGCTTTTTCAAGAGGCTGGACTTTCTTGTTTTTCTTTGAAGACATTTCATTTCTTATCCAAGAAGCTTCTTCAGCCTCTTGAAAAAGCATCTTTGGTAATACAACCACAGATGAATTATTAGGACTTTTATATCAAAACAGGCTTATGAAGAGCCAGAGGGCTATTTTCTTTCTCTAATTTCCCTAAAACCCATTTCATTTGCTAAGTCAAATTACTACATTATAAAAAGCATTCCTTGTTTTGGCAAAAAACCAATAATCTTGATTATAAAAGAGTATGATTTAATCAACCCACAAACTATATTTTTCAGAGAATATATTAAGAATTAGTCAGACAGAATGGATCTTGCTATAGCAGACATGTCAAACACAAGGCCCAGGGGCCGAATGTGGCCTGTGAAGTGGTTTCATGTGGTGCGCAAAGCCATCCTGGAAACAGTGAGGGAACAGCCCCTGCTGCCTTGGCCCTGGCCCAGGCTGGCCAGGAGCCAATGTACAATTTTGTACATTCAGTTTTAGCTCCATAAGTCCATCTGGAAACAGCGGGGAACCAGCCCCTGCTGCGTCGTCCCCGCCCACTGGATGCATGCTGGGGAGGTGTCACCCTTTGTGAGGAATGAAGAAATGCACCATTGCCTGGAAGTGGCCAGCAAATGGCCCTCGCCTACTTCACATATCCGGTTTGATGGACTCCAGGGGAGGGGTTTCAGCAGGCAGTTGGGCGCTCTCCTCACAGCGCCAAAAGCTGAGCCAGGTGGCATGAATCTGATAAGTGCAATGCTGCCTAGCCCCTAGCCTGCCCAGTTTCAGCAGGCAGAAAGGTGCACAGCTGGCAACCTTCACGTCGCCTGGCTCAGCCTCTCGGTGCTGTGTGAGGAGAGCACCCGGCTGCTCGCCAAAACTGGGCGGGCTGGGCGGCATTGCGCAGGTAACATTGACTCTCATGCTGCTCATGGCATCCTCTCCCCCAGAGCCCACCAAGCTAGATATGTGAAGTAGGTGAGGGCCATGTACTGGCCATTCCTCATGAAGGGTGACACCTGCCCAGCTGCGTTTCTTACCTGTTTTTCTCCCTCCCTCATTTCAAATATTTTCCCACCACTCTATACTTAGGAAGGAAAGAAGGAAAGAAGAGGGAGGGTCTGAGGGAAGTCCTGTCTTAGTCCTGCCTTGCTGTCCTTTCACCATCCCCTTGCCCCCTCCTCCTGGCCTATCCTGGGGGTCTCCCATCCTATTGCTAAAGAAGCTTTGGATACAAAGCCAGGTCTCCTCCCACGGAGAGGGAATGGGCCTCCCTCTGATTTTGCCCTCGTACCCATCATGAGCAACCTGTGTAAGGAGAGCAAGCACAACAGCAGCAGCAGCCTTGAGGAGGACGTAAGTGCAGCTGGGCATCCCCTTGGGGAAGTGGGGTGGGGCTTGGTGCCACGGATGCTCGAGGGCCAGGCTGGATGTTTGACTTCTGCTGCCCAAGGCTCTGGGCAACCCGTACCACCATCCAGCCCTCCCCACATGGCCTGAGAGGAACAGTGAGGCTCCTCCTGTGGACCATACCTTGGCACTTGTTCTGGTTCCATTCTCTTCTGCCAGAGACCCTCTGTGATGACCCAGGGCCCCGAATGGAGGCAAAGTAATCAGTTGGCCAGAGCAATAGTCTTTTTAATCACTGTCAATATTCACCCAACAACCCCACATATGCTGGCACGAGTTCAAACAAAACAGCCAGGGAAGTTTACACTGTTCTTAAAGCAAGACAGATAACAAGCAAACATATAATCCTTTTAACTACCAGCTTGCCTGTGAACTGCAAACTATAAACTGCAGACTGCAAGGAGATATCAGCAGGAAGCAAACTGGTCCAGAATACAAAGTGTCCAGGTTACAAGAGCACATTATCTCAAGATTTCATGTTTGTTCCCGTCAAATGCCCCACCTCAGTGTCTCCTTAAATCCTACTCCCCAGGTGTGCCTTGTGGAGTGGGGCAGGATGCTCTCCTCCCGAGCAAGGGAGCTTGCCTCCATTGTTCCCTCCTCCTCTCTGCTCTCCTTGCTCTAGGATCAGGTGGGGAGGGGCCTGAACTCTGCCTTCCCTGTTCCAAACCTGAAGGGCCCTGGCCTGCCTCAGCCTGCTCCTCCCCACAGTCCTCCGAAGCCACAGGGAACTCCATGTCTTCCGAGTCAGGCTCGGATGGAGGCATGACACCCTCAGATCTGTGCCACTCCTGCCACTCCTGCCCAGGGCCCCACAGGCACCTTTGATGCAAACGATGTAGAGCTGGCCATTCCCACCCAGTAGGCCATACTCACTCCATCCACACCCACCCAGTAGGCTGCATCCACCCTGGCCACACCCACCCAGCTCCCTGAAGGCAACTGCAATGCTGATGCGGCCCTCAATGAAATTGAGTTTGACACCCCTGTGCCATAGGAACTTTTAAAAAAAACAACCCCTAGATCAGCGGTTCTCAACCTATGGGTCGCGACCCCATTTGGGATCGAACGACCATTTTACAGGGGTCGCCAAACAATGCGATCCGCCATTTTTCCCCCTCAGGGGCCGCCGCCGCGCATGCACGCCGCGCATGGGGGCGGTGCCATGCATGCACACTGCGCATGGGGGTGCCACCCGCGCATGCACGCAGCACATGGGGGTGCAGCACCGCGCATGCACGCCACGCATGGGGTGCCGCCGCACATGCGCGCCGCGCATGGGGCGCCGCCGCACATGCACAGCGCGTCCGTGTGACAGGGGTTGCCGTCACACAAAGGTTGAGAACTGCTGCCCTAGATGATCACTATTACTTCTTTAACACTCTGCTCACGATTTCCTTATAGCTACAAATCTATTATTTAAAGTTAGGTTGTATAATGCAAATGTTAGGTTGAGCCTAGCAAAGAGTTATCAGTGGTTACACTTTAGTTTTCAATATAAAATGTGCTTTATAAAACATGTGAAACATGTCATTATTTTCAGTTTTATTATAGAAATAAGACATATAAACTAAAGGACCAAACGTTAGTTCTTTATCTCTGATAGCAGAATCACATCTTCCATAAAAGCAGAATACAAAGTTCAGGCAGGGTCTCAGCAATCGCTTCTTGCTTCTTGCCTGTACATATATCTGCAAGTATCCAGAGACAGCTATAAAACAAGGAAAGACACCTTTCTCAGGCTAACTGAACACCAGCTAACTCCGTCCAGTCTTTGGTGTATGGACAAGACATACCTTAGTCCTACTTGCTAGTTTTAAGCATATGTGGCTAAAAGAAGGGTGATTTGTATTTCAGTGGTTGGGTTCTCATAATGTATTTACTTATGGTTTACTCACTTACTGAGTTGGAATGAAATTAACAGCATGAATGCTTAATTAAACACAACTAAATAAACCCCATTTTCTGGGTTCACACAACCTGCTAGAAAAAACACATTTGGTTCATCTTTGTTTAGCCTGCTCTGCATTGAATAATCAAGTGAATTGTAGGCACCAGTAAGATACCAAAATAGGAAATGTAAGGAAGGCTTGTATACTGGAACTTTCTAATGCACTGTACCCTGTACAAATTATTACAATTTGGTGCATGGTGGCACAGGTTTCAGAAGCAAATAAAATAAAAAGATCGTCCAAATAACTACCACGATCCAAAGTTTCCTCTTCCACTGTTGCTAGGTTGCAATTATCCCAAAGTTTCTATGATAATAAAATGCACTGTCTTTAGGAAGCCTAAGCCTCTTTGTTCTCTCTAGCAACAGATAAACTTTCTCTTTATCTTTCCAGAAAACTTCTTATTTGGAAACAATTTCTATTTCAGCAAAATTTCCTTCTAAGTAAATGTGCAGGAGTTGAATCACAGCCTGCAACAGTTTTTAAAATCAACAAACGGTGGAATGTTGGTTTCAGTCATGGAACCGTCCCACAGACTGAGGAAATATGATTTACTTACGAAGTCCACCCTTTTAAATATCCCATCAACGAAAGATCCATTAATATCCAGGCAGCCGTGTACTAGGGCTGTTTTCTTAAATCTTCTACCCTTCTTTTAAAGGGTTCGTTCCTCTTAAAAGTTGAGACACTGTGAGGAACAAGCCGCAGCACTCCTTTAACCTACTCATTTTCTCCCCTCTGTGCTAGACAGGATCCCTCCCCGTGAAGCGACCTCTAATACAGGTCTCAAGAGGGGGGTGGAGAGGAGATCGCGGTCGAGGGAAGAGGTGCGACTTCCTCATCACTTGCCATAGTACGAGAAGCGTCAGCATCTGAATGAGGCGCTTCCTCATTAAGAAAGAGGAGGAGTTTTACCTGGGGATCGGGATTAGAGGGGGAGGAGCTGGCGGTGCCTCCTGTCTGGAGGAGGAAGAGGAGATCGTCGAAGTTGCTAGGAGTTCTTGCAGTTGCGTGAGCCACAATTTAGCCTGGGAGGGCCGCAGCTACTGAACTTAGGGCAACTCCGCTGCGGCCGCGGAACAAAAGGGTGGAGATGGCTGCGGCTTGGTGGCTCGCACAGCCGCTTGCCAGGCTTGTATTCGCTGCAGTGTTGGCCCTACAAGGGGCAGGTAAGCGGGGATCGGGTGCTTCTTTTTCTTTCTTCCTCCACATGATCTCCGGGAGGGATGGAAAGCGAATCCTGCTGCTGTTTCTCTTGAGTTGACGGGAACTGGGCGCTTTCTGGTAGCCTTGACGGGTGGGTGGAGAACAAATTACCTGCGCGCTCTTTGTTTCTGAAGAAGCAAAACTGAACTTTCTGAACTTTCGACGCTTCCCACTTTTTCTTTATCTACACTCGCAATGGTTGGTCAGAACTTTTCGTTTTTGAAATATATGTAGGAAGTTTTCGTATTAGTCGCCCTTTTTTCTACTTTGAGAACATGATTCGTTGGTTGCGTTCTCAAATAATGCTAAATCTATACTAAGATAAGTGGTGTAAAATCTATTCCTACTTCCTTCCCAGAAATTTTATCTCTTGAATCTAAAGCGATGGCGGCTTCTGACTTTCCTAAAAGATGGCTTTCGGTCTTTTGGAGTGCTTCTCCTACTTTGCTGAATGTCTTATTCTTTCAGATAATGCACCCGTTCTTATATAGGTTGGAGTCCTTGGTCTGTTCATTCTCCGAATTCTATCTTTTAAGCAGTTTCTGAATGCATTACTCTAATGATCTGATGCAATCTGGCTTTATTGTACACAAATTATAATCCCACTATGGGAGAGGGAATTATAAGGAGTCTAATAGTACTGGGCCGCAGCTTACTAAATCTTATCCTTTTAAATAAAATTTGTAAGACAAAAAAGTTGCTACCAGCCTCCTTATGATTTTTTTTGGCCAGTTCAGCTCTGTATCCACAATGTTTAGATCGTGGGGAAGTGGCTCTTGGTGTATAGACTAAGCATCTTAACAATATTCTCTGTTTGGAGATATTCACCATTTGAAAATTAAGGCAGTTCCTGCTAGCAAGTAACAGCACTGGCCCATGTAAACCACATATGATTCCATACATGGGATTCAAAGTGGTGTGGGAACCTACCCCTCGGTTGGTGGATTATTCATTCTCACATAGCGCCCTTGAGAGGTACAGATAGTCCTCAACTTACATCAGTTCATTTAGTGACTGTTCAAAGTTACAATGGCACTGAAAAAAATGGCTTAGGACTGTTTTTCACACTTATGACTGTTGCAGCATCCCACGATCATGTGAACAAAATTCAGATGCTTGGCACCTGGTTCATAGTTATGATAAATATACATTAATATGATAAATCTTCAGAGACAGTTAAAACCTACAATACAATGGAAACGAGTAAGAAAAATACAGATGGTGAGAGTCAGGAAGGGATTAAGGAAGTAAGATAAGGCAAAAACAGCTGGGTCTGAGAAAGGAAGAAGAAAGCTATAAAAATATAAAGGAAATGGCTAGCCAGAAAGGAAGGTTGAATGGAGAACAGAAAAAGAACTTATTGTTTAAAATAGGGACATAAATATATCTGAGTTTAAAATAACCATTTCCATGTCTAATTTTTCTTATTCTTATTGTATAAGTGAATATGATTTAGTGTGTTATCAGGAAATGTGTATAGGCGGACGGAAAGAGTGTAACCTCATACTACCTCAGCCAATGGGGAAAGAGGAGGGCTGTAGCGGCCGGTGAGAGGGATGAATAAAAGAAGGAGATATTTTGGGTTAAAACTTTGGAGAGAACCAAGCTTTGAGCTTCTCTCCCCGCTTATTGCAATAAACCAGTGGTTCTCAACCTTTCTAATGCCATGACCCCATAATACAGTTCCCCATGTTGTGGTGACCCCCAAGTGGGTGTGGCCACCAATAAGAGGGAGTAGGACAGCTAGGGAAAAGGGGAAAAAATGGTGGACAGCATGGTTTGGCGACCCCCGTGAAATGGTCATTCGACCCCAAATGGGGTCCCGACCCACAGGTTGAGAACCACTGCAATAAACGAAACAAAAGGCCTTCACTGTGTCTTGGCTGGTTATTGGTCAGGCGAGCTTGCCTCTGGTCATGAAGGAAAGTAGCCAGGAGCACATAACAGCCTTGGGGGCTCCTCCGGGATTTGCATCCGTTCCATCTTTGGCAGCCGGGGATATTCGACAGGGGAGTGCGCACCTGGGTAAGTTTTTTCCCAGCCCTAAAGGTCGGATTGACCCTGCTCAAACAAGGAGGAATTGGAGATCCCGAGATGAAAGCCAGGACCCAGTGAAAACCTAAGGGAAAGTCGGCCGACCTAAGGAAGGACTTCAACTCAGCCTGACAGGTAAGATACCAGAGGGGTATCTGTATATCAGAGAGGTGTTAATGGGCAATAAGAGTTTGAAGAGGAGGGACGCCTCCCCGGCCAGTGTGCCGGCCAATAAGGAAAAAGAGGAAAGGTATTTACATTCTGGAATGAACCCCCTTAGGGAGATGGGAATCCTTTAGGGAGAATGTTGAAGTGTTTTAAGTCAATGCTTTAAACAAGGCATTTGAACAAAGAAACGGATGATACATTACAGTATATACCTGGCCTAAGTACATGTTTGGCCAGCCAATAAATTAAATTGGGCTTCTCAGCTTAGCTGAGAGCGATGGGGAATGGATAGGCAGTGGTTAAAGTCTATCAGAAACACTCCTTGTATTTCCCCACTGCCTGGAGAACAAGCTACAAGAGCCCTAAAAGAGTAAAAGTGGAGATTTAAAGTGGAAATGATGTTTAAGGGTTTGTGTGTTTGGAGAGTGTATTGACTCATTTCTAAAGACCTGGGGGAGGGGAGGGAGAGACCCTCTAACAGTAATATACAAAACAACAAGGTCTTATTCCAAAAGGGAAATTTGGGAAAAAAGCTTCTTGAAAATAAGAATGATTGTTTTGCCTGGGGTGAAGCATTTTTGTGTCTGGTATAAAAGCAAGAAAGGGTGAAGAAGGGTAGTTTCTTAGTAATTAGAAGGACAATGGAAGGTGTTAAAAGAATGGAAATAATCAGATGGAAGAGAGGGAGAGAGAGGGGGGGGTAAGTTTTATGCCTAGCCAGGATGAAAAGCGAGATCTCTGATCCACTATTTTGTGTGAAAGAGTTAAGTAGAAAGCTATGTATTTCTTGAGGTTCCTATAGTTTGGAAGGTAACAAGAGAGGAGAAAACCTCTCTCCAAGGGGGGGGGGAATTGTTCCCCCTAACAGCTTTTGAAATCAGGCAATCTAAGAAAGAATTGCCCAACCTAATAGAAGATCCTATTGAAGTAGGAAAACAGGTTAGAAATGTTTTTAGGACCAATGGAAAGCATGGGAAGGTATTAGGGTACAAATGCAGAAATTAGACAGATGGAAAACTAAAACAATAGAAGATTTATTAGCGGTAAAAGAGGCTCAGAAAGTATATGCGAAGTGAGAAGAGGAGAGAGATAAACGTAAGATAAGATAAAAATCATGGCTCAATTATTGCAAACAGGCCAGCAAAGAAGATGTGGAAGAGTAATTAGGAAAGGCAGGCTGGGGGTGAGGACAGCCAGTTGGCACCAGGGGATATAAATCTCTAGGAGAAAATTTTCCCCAGTCTTTAAATAAATAAATGTGCCTGCTGTAAGGAGGAAGGACACTGGGAAAATGAGTAGGGTACCTTAAGAGGAAGGAGGGGGAAGAACTAGCACATTTGGTGAACTTTGAAGATTAGGGGAGTCAGGGGACAAAACTGTTTTTGGGTCCAGCTTTCCAGGAACCCCTGGTAACTTTGAAAGTTGGACCAAAGAATGAAGACTTGTGTTTTTGGTTGATTCTGGAACCACCAGATCCACATTGAACTTCATACCAAAAGGATTCCCCTTTATGGATTACTGCCTTGTCGTGGCGAAGGGGCTTGTGTAACTCAATGAAGCTATAAGCTATGCCGTGCAGGGCCACCCAAGACAGACAGGTTATAGCAGAGAGTTCTGACAAAATGTGATCCACTGGAGAAGGAAATGGCAAACCACTCCAGTATCTTTGCCATGAAAACCCCATGGACAGTACTAAAAGGAAAAAAGATATGACGCTGGAAGATGAGCCCCTCAGGTCGGAAGGTGTCCAATATGCTACTGGGGAAGAGCAGAGGGCTAGTACTAGTAGCGCCAGAAAGAATGAAGCGACTGGGCCAAAGCCGAAAGGACGCTCAGCTGTGGATATATCTGGTGGTGAAAGGAAAGTCCGATGCTGTAAAGATTTTTTCTCCATAGGAACCTGGAATGTAAGATCCATGAATCAAGGCAAGCTAGACGTAGTCAAAAAAGAGATGACAAGAATGAACATCGACATCTTAGGAATCAGCGAACTAAAATGGACAGGAATGGGTGAATTTAACTCAGATGACCATCAGGTATACTACTGTGGGCAAGAATCCCTCAGAAGAAATGGAGTAGCCTTCATAGTCAATAAAAGAATAGGAAAAGCAATACTGGGATACAATCCCCAAAATGACAGAATGATCTCAATTCGAATCCAAGGCAAACCATTCAATATCACAGTAGTCCAAATCTATGCCCCAACCACTGGTGCTGAAGAGGATGAAATTGACCGGTTCTATGAAGCCCTACAGCACCTTATAGAATTAACACCAAAAAATGATGTCCTTATCATCATGGGGGATTGGAATGCTAAGGTAGGAAGCCAAAAGATAACCGGAATAACAGGCAAGTTTGGCCTTGGAGAACAAAATGAAGCAGGGCACAGGCTAATAGAATTTTGTCAAGAGAATACGATGGTCCTAACAAACACTCTTTTCCAACAACCCAAGAGACGGCTCTACACATGGACATCACCAGACGGTCAACATA